CAAGCTCTGTGTGACCCAGGCTCTGTGATATCTAGGCTCTGTGCAATCTAGTATCTGTGTGATCCAGGCTCTGTGACAACCAGGTTCTGTGTGATTCAAGCTCTGTGTGATCCAGGATCTGTGACCCAGGCTGTATGTGACCCAGCCTCTGTGTGATCCCAGCTCTGTGTGGTTGGCTCTTCACATGCTTTATAGTTCTAGAAGAGAGGTACCCCCACAGGACAGGGCAGAGACTGAGGCCGGGCATGGTCCATTAATCAGAGTAGGGATTGGGAGCCGCATGGTGGGGATCCAGTGCCCGGGACCTCGGAACCCACACCGTCTGACCCAGTGACCGTGCTCCATGTCTGTGCCTGCTGTCCCAGGCTAGGCTCTGGGCTGGGCCCTCCCCCGTGCAGGGGCCGTGGAGGTTGGGGTCGGGCAGGCCTGTGGCCCACCTCAGCTGCGCTCCTTATACCCAGAGCCCTCGGTCGTCTGTGACATAATGCTCCTGACCCCTGGGTCATCTGAGGATGGGGCCACATAGAGCTTAGAACCCCAGGTTCTATGAGATTGGTGACTAAGCAGCTCTGCACAAGAAGGGGAGACTGAGGCTGGAGAGGTGAACACACTTGTCCATGACAAGAGTCAGGGAGCCGGGCCCAGGGTGCCTGACCTGATGCCCAGGCTCTGGGGACAGGACCTTATCTCTCCACGGTCTCATGGTGCAGGAAGGAAAGGTCCCTGGGCCCGGGAGGCTGGGGTCAAGGGGCCTCCCTGCCATGACCGCCGTCAGCACCACGTCTGTCTTCACCACGAGGAGATCTTGGAATTCCATCAGGGGCCGCGGGCCTACTTCATCCCCTCCGGCACACGCCCAGGAGGCAGAGAGGCTCCCTGTGGCCCCGTACAGGACAGGCATGCACACACACGCAGATACACACCCCCCCCAAGCGAGCACCCGCTGTGGCCAGTTCCTTACTTGGGATGTCCCCTCCTCCAGGAAGCCCTCCCATTCCGAGCGGCGCAGGAAAGGGCAGGGTCTGAGTTTAGCACTCCCTCAGGAGGGGCTGGGGGTGGGCAGGTCGGGGAGGCTGGGCACGGGCAAGCCCCCGCCCGCACCCAGGCGCATTAACGCCGAGTCTGGCAAAATGCCATCTCCCCTTCAGGACCCCTTCGACGCGGCCGGGTACTACCAGCTGGCGCTGGCCGCGGCGGTGGACCTGGGCAACAAGAAGGCCCAGATGAAGATCTACATGCGCCTGGCCACCATCTACCACAACTTCCTCCTGGACCGCGAGAAGTCCCTCTTCTTCTACCAGAAGGCCAGGACCTTTGCCACCGAGCTCAACATCCGCAGGGTCAACCTGGCCCCGGAGCGGTGCTGGGGGCGGGCGCCCTGGCTGGCCCCCAGCGCCCCGCCCTGAGGACCACTGTCCCCACCTCTCCTAGTGTCTCTGCGAGGCTCATTTTCTGGGAAACGGAGGCACGGAGGTGGGGGGTCCCATAGCAATACGTGATTTTGCAGGAGTCTGCTCGAACCTGCAAGGCCCCGTCCCCCACTCTGCCTCCAGGGGAGTGCCCAGGGCCCAGGCCCCGTCCCCGGGGACCACCCTGCAGCTGCACCTCATCCGCGGCGATGAGCTGGAAGGACTGGTCCCCCTGCCGGCCCCCCACACCCAGTTCCCCCACATCAGAGTGAAGGTGGCTGTGGGGTTCCCTGGGCATCTTCTTTCTCCCTTGCCCATGCCCTCGCTGTGTGTCCGGCTCTGGCCCTGCCTGTAGCCCTCAAACTGCCCTCACGGGGCCTGCACGGTTGGGGCTGGTACCGTCTTCATTTCCAGTGGAGGAGATGGAGGCACAGAGAGGGTAGGTGCCCGGCCCACCATCACACAGCAGGTAGGTGGGGCCGAGTGTACCACCTGCCCGCCTGCCCCAAGGGATGCATCTGCCGTAGGACCCAAGGGCGGGTCCGAGAACAGGGTGTTAGCACGTCAGTGTCCCGAAGGCAACAGAGACAGGGCAAGGGGAAGGTGGCCCCAGTGCTCCCCGACCTGATTGTCCTCTGGCCCAGCCTCACCGGGCCTGTGTGCGGAGCCTGCTGCTGAGCGTGTTTAAAGGCGCCTCGGGGCCGCCAAGCGCCGGGGACCCTCAATTTACCGGCAGGGACACTGAGGCCCAGCGAGGCCGTGGGTCTCCTGGCTGGCTCTCACCCACATGGCGTTATTTCAATCTCCTCTTTTTCTTTAATTTATTTTGTTAAATACGGTGAAATCCACATAAAATTAACCATTTAAAGTGGACCATTCAGTGGCATTTTGTGTATTTACGGTGATGTGTAAGCACCGCCTCCACTTAGTTGGAAAACATCTTCATCTCGTGGACCCCTGTGCCCCGAAAACATCACTTCTCGTTTCACCTTCTCTGAGACCCTCCTTTAGCAGAAGGGGAAACCGAGGCCGGCAGAGGGACTGGCCGGTGGGCAGAGCTCTGGGTTTGGCTCCGCGCCCAGGAGAGGCGGCAGAGCCCGGAAGGCCCCGAGGAAGGGAGGCAGGGGGTCTCCACCATCCTTACTGTCCCTGGGGTCCAGGGGAGCCCCCAGCCCCTGCCCGGCTCAGAGGTGGCCTGCAGGCCCCGTCCTGGCCGCTCCCACCAGGGGGCAGCAGAGAGACAGCCGAATCTTCCAACCTTGACCCCAAACTGCCTTCTCGGGGCTGGGCGTGGAAAGTGGGAGGAGGCCGCAACGCAATTGAAAACAGGACGACCTGATGACCCACACTGGTGTGGCAGGCCACGGCCGGCACAGTGACCCCAGCCCAGATCTCCGAGGTCACTGACCGCTGGGCAGCGCCTGGGCCTGGGCCTGCAGCCACCCGGCGAAGGGTGGGACCCGCGGCTGGGTCACTCAGGGGCCCAGCACCTGCCTGGGAATCTGCGCCTTCCCTGACCTTCCTCGCCCTGTCGCCCCCACCCCTCCCCTCCCACCCAGGGTCCCAACCCCCCACCCACCCGTCGGGCCCCCAGGTCTCCAGGGCAGCAGACAGTTCCGAGGGGAGCTTTGGTCGTCCAACCCCTGGGTTCCCATCCCAGCCCCCTACTTAGAGGCTGGGGATTTGGCGTGAGTTCATTTCTCTGAGCCCCAGTTTGGTCAAAGCTAAAATGAGGCTGATGATCCCGGTGTGAGGAGTCAAGTGAGGATTCACGAAGCAGAGGGTTCGGCGCCAGATCCAGGGCTGAGAGTCTCCTGTTTGCTTTCGACGATACTTAACACCGCAGGAAGAGCGCCAACAACCACAGGCTACGGAACTCTGAACCGAAGGCTGAGTCATCTGGTCAAGTCTCTCAGCTTCTCAGACCCTCCTCTCTCCTTCATCTGTAACCAGAAGCAAACCCTGCCTCAGGGTCCTGAGGAGGAGGAGTGAAAACGCGCCAGGCACAGAGGGGCTCGCAGCATCGGGCGGCCGGGCCCTCCGTTTCGGCCGAGGCAAGGAGGGGGTGGGCCGAGCCCCAGACAGCAGCATGAGTGCCGGATGCCCCGAATGGGTGCCCAGCCCAGGAGCCCCGCTGCCCCCGCCGTAGCGGAAGGCGTCCCCGCCGGGTCTGTCAGGAAACCCGGCCACGCAGGTTCACGGGGCCCCTCCTGTGCACAGGCCCCGTTAACTACTACAGACCCTGCTCAGGGCTGAGCCGTGTGGGCATGAGGGGGAAGAAATGCCCCCTCCAGCATGAGCCCCCGGGCTGGGGATAGAGTCACTCCTTGCCAGGTGTCCCTGGAGACTCTCCCACCCACCTCCCCAAACACAGAAGGAAAGCGACCTGCCCAGGGTCACACAGCCCCACTTCCTAACTGCAAGGTGCTGGAGCTCCTCCCCAGCATGGGTTGTCTCCAGCCTTCTTGCAGACCACGTCTTTCCCCGCACCGGCTTCCTCCGAGTGACGAATGTCCACGCAAGTCCCGGTTGGCCTCCAGCTTTGGTTGAGGAAATGCTGAGCGAGGGATGGTGACCGCCCCAAGGACGCACAGCGTCTGTCCTCCTCATCACCGCATGGAGTGGCAGACAGCAGCCCCGTGGCCTCCGAACAAGGGGCGGGCAGGGGCGGCAGGAGGTGGGTGTGCCTGGCGCGAAGCTGGACTCTCTCCCGGGCCGGCCTCTCGGCCCACCTCAGCGAGAGCTCGACGCCCTTCGGCAGAGGGCCTCCCTCCCTCGTGAAGGGAAAGGCCTGTCTGTGGGGGCCAAGAAGGTGCCCCTCGGACTCCGGTCTGCCTCATCCATCCTGTGCTTTGGGGGAGTCGGCCTGTGCTTCCTGGGGCCCCCAGGGCCTGGCCTGGGCAAGGGGCTGCCGGCCACAGGCTGGGGTCTGTGCGAGTCCAGGCTCTGCCTCTCTCTGTCCCTGTGTGACCTGGAGCACCCCGCAAAGACCCCCTTCCCATGCCACCACGGCTTGTCCCCCGTGCGGTCGGTGTCCTGGTGTGTGGAGGGCGTCAGGAGGTGTCCCGCGCCAGGCTGTTGGGGAGACTCACCGCAGCACATCAAACACTAGCGTTTTAACAAACCGGGGTTCATGACGGTCACCAGGTTGACGTGAAATTGCGAAAGAAGACGGACACCTGTGCACCTGCCCACCTGGCCACGCCCTCCAGGCTCCACTAGTCGCGTGAGGCCTTGCACCAGGCAGTGAGGGAGGAGGGAGAGAGGGAAGGCCGGGCGTCGGGAGCCCAGGCTCTCAGCCAGCCTCCCGCACAGCTGCGGGTGTCCCTTCCCCGGGCAGAGGGCAGTCTCCTGGCCGGGCCCACGTCGCTGGGCACGGAGCTCTGAAGAGCCTCGCTCCCTCCCCGGGGCAGCCATCTCTAACTGTAGGCATGGCCCTCGTCCGTCCACTGCTGGGCTCGGCCGGCCCTCACCTCCAGCCAGAACCAAAAGCATTTCACAACCTCTGCAGCTTTGGGTGGCGTCCGTACAGCGTCCCGGGAAGAGGGAACGTGGGGCTAGGGGTGTCTCCGGGAAACAGGGGCGTCTCTTCCAGAACACACAGGGTGGGCTCCGTGTCTGTGACGGCTCGGGCCTGCCTGTCTGCAGGGTGGGGGGAACCTCTGGGGACCTATCAATTTGGGAAGGTGGTAAGGCTAGGGGAGGACAGTGCTGGGTTTCCAGAGAAATCCAAGGGAGGGATATGCAGCTGCGTCAGGCTCGGGAAAGGGCCCCACCCCTGGGGGAGGAAGGCAGGGGTGGCAGATCCCTTACCAGGATGGGCCAGGTCGGGAGCAGGCCCCTCTCTTCACATTCTACCCTGCCCCTGCCCCGTGGGGCAGCTCCCATGTGCTTCCGCTCTGAGCCGGCTCCTACCCGCGCTCGAGGCCCGCAGACCAGCAAGGAGGACCCCACAGGGTATGATCACGACGGGCGTACCCCAGGCTTCTCTGTCCAGCACGGCAGACACACCCGTTCCCGACCCGACCTGGATCTTGGAGCCGAGTTCAAGGTTGGACGGACCCTGACCGAAGGGACATCTGCTTTCCAGGACACGGCCCAGAGGGTCATCTCCCACCTCTGCCTGGTCCTGGGGCACAGCCCTCCCTGTGCAGGAAGGGACCTGCTGGGAGGCCAGACTGCTGTGAGCTCAGCGGCTCACCTACCTGCACCCCGATCTCAGCTAACACCGTGGGGCAGACCGAAGAGAACCCCAGGGCCCACTGAGTAGATGCAGGGAGGGCATTCCGCGCGCTCCGACCCCACCCGGGATAAATACCCTCAGCAAGTGAGGAACAGACCCACCTCAGTGGGCGAGGGCTTTCTGCCCACTGTGGAGCCGGAGCAGGTTCCCAGTGAGTCCGAGGAGGGGGCCAGGTGGTGCCCCCCACTTCCCATCCACGTGATTCTGAAGGTCCCAGAAAACCAGCAAACCAAGGAAAAGAGACAGGTTCAAAGGGCTGATAAAGAAAAAAGGAGTGGACATTATCCACAAAGGGTATGATCGCTTGACCAGAAAACCCCAGTCTCCGCCAGCCTCTGGGATGAACAGGAGGGTTTCCCAGGGAACCAAGTAGGCTCTGATCCCACAGACCCGCAGCACTGAGCTGGGAAATGCAGTTTTAAAAACCATACAGTTCAGAGTATCAAGAATGTATACAAATATCTGGGAATAAGCCTGACCCAGTTTTCCTGTGTTCCTAAGTGGGAAAAGTCAGTATGGTAAAGATGTCGGAGCTTCGTGGCGACCGCAAAATAAAAAATCCCACAGGGTTGATGTAAACCTTCGCGAACGGACTCCGGAACGAAAGGATGAATAAATGTCAGAATAGCTCACCGCAGCTCCCCTGGAGAAGAAGACACATTTCAGGAGGGGGCCCTTTCCCTATTAGATCTGATGGTTTATTATAAAATTGCTTCATGACTACAGGGCACTGTCAGGATGGGGTAAATAAATATGAAAAAACAGAAATTCCTAGAATTGAGTTCGCAGACAGGTGGACATGACACCCAGCGTGCCGACCCGTGGCCTGGCAGCTCGGGGTCTGCTTGGGCGCCCCTGCCGGTCCGCGTGAGGCGTGGGAACCCCACCGTTCGGCTCCCCAAACCCCCACGCCTGTCGGATTGAGAGCCAAAGCTGTGGCGAGCAGGAATGGTGTGACTTCTGGGAAAAGGAGCATCTTTTCACGAGGCGGAGTGGGGACGGACGCCTCCCACGAGACAAGCAGCGCAAGAGGGAAAGTTGCTGAGCTGGACCGCAATCCAGTTATCCACCATCCTGCACGGAAGACAGCGCGGGCACGGCGGAGAGACAAGCCCCGGGCTCAGAGGGGATGTCTGCGTGTGTCCCGGGCAGGCGTCGCTCTGTGTGTGTGTGCAGTACATGTCATACACACCGTACGTATATGCGTGTGCCTAGGATACACCCACACACGTGCACACGCACGGTTGGTGAATTATTTAAAATGAAGGGACAAGAACGGCAGCAGACCAGCTATGGAAGTGGAAAGGAAAACGGCCAACGCGCCCGCAGAGCAGCCCGGCCGCACTGGCCGTTAGGATGACGCGGGTCCAGCCTTGGCGAGATGCCAGCTCAGCCCCGCGCACAGGACACGGACTCGGGAGCTCCCGGGTGCTGCTGGCCAGAGCTGACCCCACTTTAGAGAGCAGTCACCCAGCATTATCTCGCGTCATCTAGAAAACCCAGAAGTGAATTCCCCTTCCTGTGTGCAGGCGTCCATGTGTGCACACCTCCGTCCACAGCGAGCCTCATGCACGAGCCCCAGAGATGTGCAGGATGGCAGGGAAGCCCCCTTTGGGATGGCAAGCGTGGCAGAAGGTGGATGG